TTATTATTATTATTATTATTATTATTATTATTATTATTATTATTATTTTCATCATGGTCATTTAAAACTTCTTCAAATATTCTTGGATTATGCATAATTGCAATAAATTCATCATCATGATTATTTTCATTTAGTAAATGTCTCATATTAATTATATCATGAGCAATTTCATTTTTTCGTTGTTCAGTTTTTAATTCAAGAAAATTTTTTATATTAGATGTTATTGCTGGTAATACTGGTTGATCAGATTGAAATATTTGTAAATTATCTTCATATTCATCATCCATGGCAGCAATAGGAGCTATTTGTAAATTTTTTGATTCATCATTATCTTCATCAATATCAACAATTGGTGCTTCATTTGACATTGGTGATACTGAACGTGTACTATTACTTTTACTATAGGAAGACACCGATCGATGATCATCAAGATTAACTTGAAGACATAATTCATTATTATCATCATTATTGACTTCAAGAGATAATTCTTCATTATCATTACGATTTAATGTATTACTATCTAAATTCATATCATCATCATCATCACTATTGTCATTATCGTCACTATCAGACGATGTCACAAGTCCATCATCACTTATAAATACACGTGCTTGATCAGTATAACCAAAACTTAGATGTGATGATACATTTGAACATCTTGAATTACTACGTGATGAATCAATAAAATCCACTTGATCGAATGGATGCATGTGTAAAACTAACGGTACATTTATTCTATTAGTTTGAGAATTCATATTTGATGAATTAGAATGAAGAATATTATCATCATTCCATTGTGTGACTTCATCATCAAAATTCACTTCATCGTCATGTTCATCTTGTAAATGTGATGAAGATAAAAGTGAATCAGGCGATGATGAACGTATTGAATCAGATTGATTATACATATCCATATGATCAAAAGGAACTCTATCATCATTATCTTCTTCATGTTCATTTGGATCATCAATATCAGGAATATCTTTAAATAAAGATGGTACTACTGCTGTTGTATCATGTTGTTCATCAGTAAAACCATTTAAAAATGAATCATCTTCAAGATCATAACCATCATGTGAATTTTCAACATGATTAATAAATTCATCAAATAAATGATTATGATTAGAATGATTCACCGTTGAATCACTATCACTATTAAGTTTTTTTTGCGTCGTAATAGAAGCATGTCGAATTGGTATACCATCAAAATCATCTTCATCATTATCATCATCAATATCCTCAGTAGGTTCTAGAGGCGATGGTAATGATGGTGTAACTTGATTGTTACTTGAAGTGTTATTTTCATCCCTCACAGCACAACTGTCCATTAGTCGTTCTTGTGTTGCTCCTACTTCACTAGACGAAGATGAAGAAGTGACGAAGGCTGCTCTGCTAAGCGGATCTGAATCGGCAAATAAGAATGAACCGAATATGGGTTGATAAGATTTTTCTGTATTGACATTAGTGACAACAGCAGTGGATGATGCTTCTGTGGAACATGGTGCATTGTTGTCAAATATCGAGGGTAAATCAGAATAAAACGTGGTGAGATCCTCGACATCAGACGCCATATTGATCATATGAACATTTTTCTTGCATTCGATGCGAAAAAGAAGCAAAGAAAACGGATGGCGATAAAGAAGAAAAGAACGAGAAGAACAGAATGAAAAGAAAAAAAAAAACACGTACTGCAGAATTGACAATAGCTGAATAAGTCGGGCCGAAAAAAAGGATGATGATGAGTGTGAAACACGGAAAAAATGCGGGCGAGCAATAAACAAGCAAACTCAGAGAAAGAAGAAAGAACAACAGCAGCAGCTTATAGAACCGTCAAACACGCTTTTTTTTTCTTATTCTCTTCGTCTTGTTCTAACGTATTTTTTATATACACAATTCTTGCAACTCAAAACTGCCTTGGATTCATATTAGTACGGAGACAACAAATCTCTCTGTCTTCTATTTACCATTATATCTATAAAGCATATTAAGAGATGAAAGAAAGAAAAACAAAGAAAGAAAAAAAAAAGAAAGAAAGAATATTTATAGCAAAAATATTGATTGATATTTCTTTTATAGAAATATTCTTACTCACTCATAGGACTAATACATTTGCTAGCGAGTAATCTAATCAGATAGGTAAATGTTGGCCAAATGACAGACGACGTATTCTCAAATGTAATCGATATGTGTATAGATATCAATGAAACAAATATCCCTCTTCATTGTAAATCCGTCAATCATTTATCCTTCACATCGAATATACTAAATATTATGATATTTATTAATACAAAAAGAAAAGAATTTTTCTTTGTCAGTCATTTACACTTTTTTGGCTTTAATTAGCTATCATCATCAAGGTCAATAGCAATGATGATTGATTAGTCTTTGTCAGAATATATAAAGATATATTTAGATATGTAATAGAATCTGAACTAAACTGCTATGATAATTAAATCAGTAAAAAAAATGCATCATATGTGACATTGACTAGTGATGAACGAAATAATCGGTTTTAATTTTTTCTTTTTTCATTGATTCTCATATTTATCGACATGAAAGGTCACTGTCATCATTATTAAAGTTGACAGATAAATAAATCAATTTAATCTCTGTTTTAATATAAAAATATATATACATATATAGTCTCATTGGAATTCTTAAAAGATTCTCAAAATAATAGTAACATAGAAATTACATATGAGGCAGCCGTTATAATGCTTAATAATCGTATTCCATTTGTTACATATCATTACATGCAAGCAATCAACTGAAGCAGTCAACCGGTAATATAAAAAGAAAACTTACAGCATTTGGATAAAGATCACTTTTATTTATAGCAACAAAATCTGTTTCAGAATCCGACGAAGAACTTGGCGTAGACGTAAATTGTGTTTCTGGCATTGCTTGAACTTGTTCATTAACAACTTCTGTAAAAAAGACACACATAGTCTCTTGCAGTTGATTAACTACCTGAATTTACATGCATACGAACCTGGATATGAAGGCTCAGATTGATTTGGTGGTATAACTGGAGGACTTGAGTTTGTTTCACCCTCATTAATACTATTTGAACGACTGGTACTAGGTGTTTGAATATTACCGTCATCATTATCTCTTTCCATGTTGTTTGATTTGTAAAAGTAATCTGAAAAATTGAAAACTGCGATATGTACACCATATAATTGAGAACAAACGCCTCTAGCAACCATTCTAAGTATATTCTTCAAATTACATACTATTTCCTTTAGACCTTTATGAATGATTTCTTAAGTAAACAAGAAAATGAAGCAACAGCATCCCTTCAAATAAATCGCTAATCGGTTATAACACTAATAGCAAACAAAAAATTTTTATTATCAAAATAATCTACTCACATACATCATTCTATTACAGTTATAATTTGTTGATCGATCCATTCACAATAAAAAAAATGAAAAATTCCGTTTGAAATGTTGTACATTTGCATAACGACAAATGTTTGTTTTTACCTGTTTCTCAGTTACAATGTGAAAGCGTTATTTTCGTCTGTAGAGGAACAGTCAGGTATATAGAAAATGAATCAACACTTATGCAGCAACATCAACATGCTAAAACACATGTCTTATCATACGATAGCACAATGTCACATTGTTACATTTTAAAGATAGTAACATAAGAAAAAAAATAAAAATACGGTCGATATTTCTGTCTCAATAGTTTTGATACTAATACTTAATAATGCAAATGAACTTGATATAAACTGGTAAATAAGTTTTTCTTGAATGACGTTATTATGAAAACTAATATCAATAAGTATAAAGAAAATACATTAAGAAGCAGAAGGCCGTCTAAGAAAGAATAATATAAATATTTATCATTGCAAAGTAAAAAAAAAATACTAACACACTAGAATAACAAAAACTGCATTCGGTTTCAATTAATACAAAAGGTACGTTATAATATTGATACCACAGTTTTCGTATACGCATAAGACTTCATATTGTATTTAATAGAAAAAGTTTCAAATGATCCTGGATATATGTGTTCTTTTAATCTACTAAAAGCCCTATTCTTTTTTTTATCATATATCAACAAATGAAAATAATTGACTATAAACTAAAAGATTTTATTGAACTAATCAATCTCATTTATTCTTCTTAAATAACTAAAAACATGAAAGTTTAAAAACTTCTAAATTTCATACATCTTAAATTTCATTAACGTCTACTTAGAAGAATATTTATAATTTACTATGTCATTTTTGATAAATCTATTTGGTTTTAATATTGAACTTGTCTAAATAGTGACTTTTGATGTAAAATGCAACTTAAACATCTTGAGTGGCATTAGCATGAAATTTTGAAGGAAATCCTTTAGAATAATCATGGATTACAATTTATGGCCAACGGATGAATAGAATCAAGTGATACTTGAAAAGAAAACAAATATAAGATGCATGCGGTATATAAAACGTCATTCTTTTTTCTTCTTTGCATAGGACGACGCAATTTACGAGATAAAGTTAGGTTAACAAACACTAAGCATAGATCATGTTACATGCAAAATCCACTGCATTAGAAGTTATTCAAGCTTTAAATGCCGATCTCACAGATAAAACAGTTTTAATTACCAGAGGAACTGCAGGTAAATTGAACTCGTTAATTATTAGACATAAACAAAGCAACCCATTATGAAAAGGGATTGGACTTGAAACAGCATGCGCACTAGCTACAATGCATGCGCATGTGATAATTACAGGACGTGATATGGTTAAAAGTAAAAAAGCTCTTGAAGACCTTCGGCAATCAACAAAAAATGAAAAAAATTGAATTAATTGAACTTCATCTTGATTCATTAGAATCAGTTTGTTCATTTGCTGAAGAATATATAAAAAGAAATTTATCATTACATATACTAATTTGTAATGCTGGTGTCTTTCCTAGTATACGTAGATTAACAAAAGGTGGTTTTGAATATAATTGGGGTATTACTTATTTATCACATTTTTTACTTGCACAACTTTTATTACCAGTATTAAAAAGAAATCAATCATCACGTATAGTTGTTGTTAGTTCATTAGCTAATCATTGTGCTGGAATTGATTTTGATGATTGGAATTAAGAAAAAACATCTATTCAATAAGTTCTTCGCTTACGCATAAAGTAAAGTAGCAAATATATTTTTGGCTAAACAAATTAGTTAATTATATGCTGATTAAAGTCTTAGAGTTTATAGTCTCCATCTGGTCACAGTTACTACTGATATACACAATGAAATGAGTCAAAAAGAATTGGAGAAATTTGGTTTGATTGATAAAGAAACAGGAAAATCTGTTGAACGTATAAAAACTTCTGAACAAGTTGCATCACTAAGTGTTTGAGTTGCATTAGCAACTGAGTTGGAAAATCAATCGAGTGCTTATTGTGAAAATTGTTCTATTAGTTCAGGTGTTGTTGATCCATCAACTTCAAAAATTTATGGTTTAGCAGCACATAGTGTTGATGTGAAATCAGCAAAACGTTTATAGAAGTTAAGTGAAAATTCAGTTGAAAAATTTTTAATAAAATAAAAAAACAAGAAAAAAAAAGGAATTCTAGGAAGTTGCATCTGAGATAGTAACAGTTGGAAAAGAAGAACGTTGTTTATATGAATCTGGATCTAATTGAAGACGATTAGGTAAACTTGGAAAATAAGAAGGTTGTCGTTTGTCAAATATTTGATCAAATTCCATTTGAATCTGTGTTTCTCGTGCATGAATTTTTGATGAATTTGTTGAACCATAAAGCCATTCAAGTTCTAATTGACGTAGTTTTGAACGATTAACAGGTGGTAATTTACTTATCGATTGAACATTAGGACGCACTAGAATAAAAAGTATATATTAATTTTCAAGAAGGAATAAGCTTTATGTACGAAGTTCTATGATATTCTAATTACTTTGTTCACCAGGTATCAATTCAAATTGTTCAGCTTCATTTTTCTCTTGTGATTTTTGATTTTCTAGAATAAAAAAAGAAATTTTATACTGCTTTCTTCTATTTAAATTGAAAAGAATCTATACAGTGCTGAAGAAAATGTTTCGAATGATTATTTATGTTAAGTTAAATTTTTATTCTCAAACAAATAGAATTCATATGAACAGTTATAGCTAGTAAAATTGTACTTTTTGAACAGTACTATGAAACTTTAAATCATCTACGATTTATAAATCATACGATATTCCTTTGTATGTCATATCGACCATGATGTGGCGACAAACAGCTTGTAAAAGGTTTAAATATCAAAATGTATTTCCTGTTTTTTCTTTTTTTGATACTTATGGTTCGAATTTTATGAATAAAAAGCTGGCTGTTTTTTTCAACTCTTAACGATCCGCTTGAAATAGATATTTAATAATAAACAGTCTCTCATGAGATAGCAACTTAAAAGAATTATATTTGAACTTAAATGATTTATTCTCTAACATTAATCATTGTACTCTACTAACTTCGATTTGCTTTGTGATCGCGTGAAAGACGATAAAAATCTAGCAAATCATCATCAATCGTAAATTGAAGTTGTTTATCATTATCGTCATCAATCATTGTATTTTCTTCCTCTTCTCTCATCAATATTGGTGCATTATTAATCGTATTTCCTTGAATCCATTGCATAGCTGTTTGATAGTTTTTCCAATAAGTCAAATCATTATTCTCCATTTCTATAATGGTCTAAAATTATAACAAACATTTTCTTTTTTTATTTGGTTTGTCTCTCTCTCTCTATACATATATATATTTAAGTAGAATGTGCATGACAAAAAAAAAATAAGTATATATTTACATTAGATTTATCAAACAATATTATAAGAAATCAGTATTTTTTGGCTTTTCAAAAAGCAAAAACTATGAAGTTTGTTTATATTTTTGATTTCTTCAATTCAGAAAATATAAAATAACGATCGAATTTGATCAACATGTAATTCCGTCAGAAATATTGTTATCAATAAAGACATCCAACCAAGTACACTTGCCTTTTGTATAAATTCCTAAAGAAAAACAAATATAACTATTGATATTTATGGAGATATATTTAATTTAATAACGAACCCATGTTCGATCAAAGAAAATAGCAATTACAAGATAATCTTGAATACTTAATGCGCATAAATATCTCCATAAATAAAATATTAATATAGTTAATGGTGAATGAAGAATTGCTAATTGTAAAGCCTAAATTGTCAAGAAAAACATTGAAAAATCTAATGCAATTATTTCTAACTTGTTGTTGTGATTTGTCTTTATATGAATCTAGTAAACTTTCATATGCTTGTACATCTCTATCCCAAAATATCGCTGCTAATGAATAACGTAAAGTAAATAAACTTAAAGAAATAAATATTCTTCCTTTTGTTTCGAGTATATTAGTATTTATATCATTAACTGATGGAATTTTCGGTTCATCATCCATATTTAATATAATCACATCTGTTTCCTCATTTTCAGTATCACTCGATCGACTTAAACGTGTTGATAATGATCGACTGATTTGATGTGTTATTGATCGAATTGGCCGTTGTTTATAAAAATAAAGTAAACATCCGATCATGAGACATGTTCCACCTAATACATCACTTAGAGCATCAACATAAAAACCTAAACCACCATGGTAGGATTTATAATGTGAATTTTTTGCATGTGCACGAAAAACAACACCATCAAGATCATCAAGAAAAGTACGAATTTCAAAAATTAAAACACCTATTCGACGTTGATATAATGATTCACTTGAAAAAAATTTTATTGAAATCAATGACAAACAGCAATGAAATATTGATATAGCATTAGCTGATATTAATGGAAAATAATACGTAAAATGAAGATTCGATTCAACATATTCAGCTAGTGGCGCTCGAACATACTGAGTCTAAATATAAACAAAAAGCTGTTAGAGCAATACCAGTAGGATTAAATTTGAAGCACAATGTAGCTGCTCTTGAGAATCACAGGAAGATTGTGTTATTCTATCTACTTTGGAATACATCTCTGTACTATACTTTTACTTAATCCTCCAGAAATGTAATAAGGTGCTAATTCATATATTATGACAAGACATCATCGATATATGGTCCTTGATCGTATATCCAGAACGTCTGTCAGAGTCTGTAAGAACGGAGAGTCCAAATTTGTATCCCTATACTTTAACATTACTTTCAGATTACGTTTCACAAAAATAACAATTATATTATTATCTGAATCGTCTATTGAAAAAGATTTTATAAACTACTTTTTGTTTCATTGGTTCAAATATAGCAGTGGACAAAAGTCTTTGCTTTAGCTGAAGTCGACACTGTACGTACTGATGGTTTGTAAGTTTTTGTGAACATACTTTACCAAGAATGTAGATTAAAGACAATACAGCGCCATTATTGCTTAACTACAAACAAGCTTATAATGGGCGGCACCTCACGAGGAAACGTTTTCAACTGTCCAATCATGTTTGAGTTCAGACTCTGTGCATAAAGTAGATCCCATTGGGGTATGAAAAACCCCAAAAGGATAAGTACCCTTAGGCTTTCTGCCCAGGGTTATAGGCATTTTACTGCAATTTTAGACTGTAGCATGGTATATATAAAAAAAACGACTGACGGTATTTCGAGCTGAGATTTAATCCACAAACAGGCCTATTACTGAACAAAATGTCCTGAAAATTTCAGTTCGAACAAATGTTGTCTTCTTGAGATATTGGAATCCCAAGAATCACTGGAATCCTATGAACGATACTAAAATATTCTGTTTTTTGAGGCTCTTATATCTCGCGAAGAAAACATTTGTTCGAGCTGAAATTTTCAAGACATTTTGCTCAGCAATAAGGCCTGTCTGTGGATTAAATCTCAGTTCGAAATACCGCCATTCGATTTTTTGATATATACCATGCCATAGGCTAAAATTGCAGTAAAATGCCTATAACTCTGGACAGAAGGCCTAAGGGCACTTATCGTTTTGGGGTTTTTCATACCTCAATAGGATCGACTTTATGCACAGAATCTGAACTCAAAAGCGATTAGACAGTTGAAAACGTTCCCTCGTAAGTTTTCTTTTCCGCATTATAGTCTAAAAAAAAGACTACCTACATAATTTTGCGCTCTTTCTTACTGAAAATATGACTATCGCTTAATATTTTTACATGTAGCTAAAGTTCCATATCTCTGTATGATTTCTCTTTAGAGCAAGATTCACTTTGGAAAGTTGTAGATAATGATGCCTAACTGTAGAGAAAATTTCTCAAAAATGTTGACCTCGTTTCATTGAACTATCACGAAGTTATTGACCACCAAACGATAGCAGATGGTTTCTCTCAACAACAATGATCATGGTAAAAGGAGTATAGTCTTTGACATAATTGATGAACTTCAATGAAATTAGTAAGGTAGATAGCTGAGGCACAGCATTACATATTAAAGAGTCTGCTGACGCAGAATACTTGTCTTTTGCATGGTTATGAGACTAACGACAAAAATAGATGCCATTCATCATGACTCCCTATGTAATTAAGCAATAACGGCATCGCCGTGACAATGATCTACATTCTTGATGAAGTATGCTTACACAAATTTTCAGACCTTCAATACATACAATGAACGAGATAGACTGAGCGAAGACCTTTGTTCAGTATTATATATGATAAATAAAAAATTTAACTTAAATAGAAAACATAAGCATTCTATAGTGTTTTTGTTTATATTGTTATTGAGAGTATTCATTAACTATTGGAACAAGCAAAGGTTTAAGAGACGATTTAAATAATGAAAAAGGCTGCATCATTTCATTAAAAAATCTAAAAGAAAACAGACTACTGATTTATTTCTAACTGTTGATCACAACAAAAGTCGTCGTTATTTCTTAGATTAAAAAAAACTCTCGTGTTCACTTTCGAACATTCAAAATGATTGCCAATAATAGTTAGATTTGTAATTCTTTTAGTAAGAAATGCGTGAAATATTAAACCTTCTCCTTGAAATATAGAAAAATATATTCAGATATTTTCTAGAATCAGTCAAATACTGTTAGTATCATACGTTGTTTATTTGTTGATTACACCGATTATACAACGACAAATTGATGTAACAATATTTATGATGA